ACCTCCTTCTCCTCCTGTTTGTGTGTCCGAGGCCAGAAGACTCCTTCTCTTCCCCTCCCATACGGTGCCTAATGGAAACCCTCTCCTTCAACGTGTGTGCGTGCGGGTAATGAACTCCCTCTCGGTGTGTGCAGCTGGAGGTCTATTTTTGAGTCGACTAAAAAATAAACCCTCTCCTTCAACGCGTGTGCGTGCGGGTAATGAACTCCCTCTCGGTGTGTGCAGCTGGAGGTCTATTTTTGAGTCGACTAAAAAATAAACCCTCTCCTTCAACGCGTGTGCGTGCGGGTAATGAACTCCCTCTCGGTGTGTGCAGCTGGAGGTCTATTTTTGAGTCGACTAAAAAATAAACCCTCTCCTTCAACGCGAGTGCGTGCGGGTAATGAACTCCCTCTCGGTGTGTGCAGCTGGAGGTCTATTTTTGAGTCGACTAAAAAATAAACCCTCTCCTTCAACGCGTGTGCGTGCGGGTAATGAACTCCCTCTCGGTGTGTGCAGCTGGAGGTCTATTTTTGAGTCGACTAAAAAATAAACCCTCTCCTTCAACGCGTGTGCGTGCGGGTAATGAACTCCCTCTCGGTGTGTGCAGCTGGAGGTCTATTTTTGAGTCGACTAAAAAATAAACCCTCTCCTTCAACGCGTGTGTGTGCGGGTAATGAACTCCCTCTCGGTGCATGCAGCTAGAGGTTGAGATGGATGGCGCTGTGCCTCGCTGCATCGTGGGTGACCCCTCGCGCTTGCGCCAAGTGCTGCTCAATCTGCTCTCCAATGCCATCAAGTTCACCCACCAGTCAGTGCTCCCTCTTTTCCTCCCTCCTCTCATCCCTTCTCGCCCTCCTTCGCTCCTCTCATCTCCTCCTCCCTCCTTCCCTCGTGAACCCTCTCAACCTGCTCTCCAATGCCATCAAGTTCACCCACCAGTCAGTGCTCTCTCCCTCCCTCCTCTCATTCCCTCTCTCCCTCCTCTCCTGGCATCTCCTCTCTCCTCGCAATTCCGTCTCTCCTCCCCTCTTCTCATCCCTTGTCTGCTTAAACTCTCTTTTTCCTCTCCCACGCCATCAAGTTCACCCAATCGCTCATACACACAAAAAAACGCCCCCTAATCCTGTTACCCTTTTGCCTCACCCAACAATGTTCAGGGGTTTTGTGAAGCTCCGGATTTTCACATCAAGCATCCCAACAGAGGAGGACTCAAAGGCCCATGCATCAGCGGCAGCAGCAGCAACAACACCTTGCGTCGAGGCGCCTCAGAGCTCAACAGGGGGCACACCAGGTTCATCAGCAGCAGAGGAAGCGGCAGAGGCAGCAGCAGAGGAAGCGGCAGAGGCAGCAGCAGAGGAAGCGGCAGAGGAAGCGGCAGAGGAAGCGGCAGAGGAACTGCAGGGGGGAGACGTGATGCCATTGCAGAAATTTGGCTGTAGAAATGGTTGGGGGAAACGCAAGAGGGTGGGCTGCTGCAGTGAGGGGGAAGACTGCTGCACGAACGCAGGTGCGGCAGGAGAAGTGGCAGAGAGGACCAGTGGGGGGGATGGTGGTTGCACGGTTCTGAAGCGCAGCAGAAGGAGTTGTGCTGGTGGGCCGGCAGGAGGTATTTACAAGGAGCAGGCGAGAGTGGAACCGGAGGGGAAGAGGCAGGCAGAGGCAGGGATGCAAGTAACGTCCGGAGAGCCTGAGATTCGGAAAAGTGATGAAGGGTGCATATCAGGAGAAGTGGCAGTGGCCATGGGAGGAACAGAGACAACAGAGGCAACAGCAGCATGTGGGAAGAGTGACTCAAAAGAAGAGGAGGAGGAGGAGGTAACTGTGCACTTTGAGGTTATTGATTCAGGCATCGGCATTCCTCCAGCCTTGCTCCCGCGCCTCTTCCAGCCGTTCATGCAGGCAGATGAATCCACGAGTCGCAGGTACGGTGGCACTGGGCTCGGCCTCGCCATCTGCCACTCGCTCGTCACGCTCATGGGCGGCACCATCCACGTGTCCTCAGTGGCCAGTCCAAAGCCTGCCGACCATGTGCCTGTGGCTGGGTCCGCGGGTGATGCGAATGCAGGCAGCAGGAACCCCAAGAGTCCCACCAGCACAATCACTCCCACCAGCCCCACCAGCCTCACCAGTCCCACCAGTGCCCTAGCTGCTGATCCAACTGCATGTCCGACAGCAGTGGTTGGGGCTGCTGGTTCCTATATCAAGCAAGCTACTGATGCTCCTCCAAGGCATGGCACCACGTTCCAGTTCTCGCTGCCCTTCAAAGTGGTCAGGGAAACTTCTGAACCTTCCAGCATAGATGCCTTAGACCGGCTGGTTGATCCCTGTGCTGCTGCTGCTGCTGCTTTTGCTCCTGCTGTTCCCGGTGCGGCGCCTGCTCCTGCTGCAACTGCTGCTGCTGCTGCTCTGAGTCCACGCTCCTGGTCAGTGCAAGAAAGCTTGCGTTTGGTGGGAGAGGGGTTGGATCATGTGGCCGAAGCAGAGCAAGAGGTGCAGCACTCAAAGGGAGAATTGCAGGGGCAGGGGAAGCAGCAGATAAATGCCAAGGAGGAAGCCGGACAGAAGAAGGACACAGTGGCTCAGCAATGGAGGATGCAGGATCCGCTGCGAATAGATCGAAACCAGAAGCATGTTCATGTGCCTTCTACTAACGAGCATGCTTCAGATGCTCCTGTACTATCGGCGAAGGCACCAGGTGGATTGAAATCGCCTCCCCGATCACCATCAGTGTCATTTCCGGGAGTGCGGTGTCTAGTGGTGGAGGACAATGCAGTGAACCGCATGGTGGTGGTGCGTCTGCTGCGCAGCCTGCAAGTGACCAGTGACGTGGCTGAGAATGGCGTGCTTGCCGTGCAGGCATGCCGCGATAAGGAGTACGATCTTGTGCTCATGGTAAGCAACCGCTTGATACGAATCGCCTAGTCATTTGGTATGTAGATTCCCCCTTGAGCTATGTTGTACGAAGGGCATCGCTTGACCTTATCCCTGTCTAATCGCCTGGCTCTTTTTCTTTCTTGCAGGATGTTCACATGCCCGAAATGGACGGCTTTGAAGCCACCTACAACATCCGGGCTCTCGATGCAGAACGGCGAGGTATCACTCGTGACAATGGCAGCATAGGTTGCCACCAACAGAGCGAATGTGCAGACAGGTCAAGGCCCATAACTCATTGTGAGCACTATTTCACAAACGTGCTTCCCGAGGGCAGACCAATTATTGTTGCACTGACTGCCAGTGCATTGAAACATGAGCGTGAGAAGTGTGAAAAGGTGGGAATGGATGGCTTCTTGACCAAGCCGGTGCGGTTGCAGGACCTTGTCTCGGTGCTTAGGCCACTCCATCTGAGAACAACATAGCATGCCAGTATAGCAAATTATGGGTTGATCTAGTGAAAAAGCAGCTGGTGTCCCTTTGAGCCTAGATTGCTTTAACAGTGTGTGTGTGTTGTTGAGCCTGACCAGCACGGTGGAAACTCACTGCTTGTTAGTAACACTCTAGCAAAGTGAAACACGGATTTCTAAACTAATGGAGGCTATGTATCAGCACTACCTGATGGGGCTCACCAAACCCCACTGAGAAGCTACCGGAATTACCGTAACCTCGATTCAGATGCAAGAGCCCAGTATGAGTCAAGGGCTGCTGCAGAACTCCTGCATAGGGGAGAGGCCCTATCCTCCAGGATCTCTTAGAACTATAAACGGGGAAAACAGGCATGCTGCTGCATTAACGGGCACTCCCTATTTAGGGTTTCGAAGGACAATGATGACGGAGTCCCCCCGCAGAAACATTTTGCTGATGAACCGATCTTTATTCACTGGCTTGGCTTTCTTCTTCCCCTTCCCAGTTTTTGGAACCTGAGAAAGGCAGGAAGCGTGAGGGAGATCAGCAAGAGATACCGTGTCAGTGCTCAACAGGCACTAATAAAGTGGAATTCAAATTTGAAATTGAAAAACAGAAGTTGACATTGAGACGGGAACAGAGACTGAAGAGGGCTTACCTCTGTCCACATCTCCTTCACGTTCTCCAATACCATGTTGCAGTGCCGGTCGAAGGCCTTCACTCTTCCAAGCAATTTCCTGTTGTTTCTGCAGTTGATCAATACCTGTTCGAAACAAAAGAAGGCACGACGAGACGTCAGGACTTCCATCTCATAAACAAACGACGCCTCTGCGACTAAATCCCGGAAGAAAAAAAACCCCTATTTGATCGAACCTGTGTATTCTGCTTGACACTCATCGTGAGCACGGATAACGGTCCTGTGCTGAATTCTTCTTCTTCCTTCTTCTCCGCCTGTACGAACGAATCGACATGATGGTCATGGAAGTGAGAAAGCCATTCTAACAAAATGAAACCTTGAGGTAAAAAAGCGACGAGAACAACAAAATCACGCACCTCATCCTCGTCCATTGGTCGACTGAAGGCAGAGCCATCGAGACGACGAAATGAACGCAAGACAACAAGAGACAAGGCGACAATGTTAATATTGGACCTTCCGTTGAGACATACGTAAGCAGCACAGACGGTACGAGGAGAAATAGACAAACCTCACCTCATGGTGTAAGGCGCGAGAGAGAAACTACTTTCTTCTGTACCGTAGAGATGAGATCGGAAGTGCTCAGACTACAACTAGGTCAATTCTCTGACGAGGGGAAAGGGATCTTCCCAGCAGCGTAACTCATGTCACACAAAGCAGGAAAGCACAGAAGCAGAAACGCGTACTCATGGGGTTGAGGCTGGAGGTGCATACATATACAACGTTGACAATATTTGCATATTTACAAGCACTAGAGAGCAATTTGTTGGTTCTTATCATTGGTTACAATCGTTTGTACTACTTAAAAAAATAGCTCAATCTGCCAACAAGTTTAGAGTTCCGGGTTTGCAATCAAACAGTTTTTGGAACCCATAGCACAACACTAATTATTTATTACAAAGCCATTTCCTAACATTTTTAGACCCAACAGGCAACACCGTGACTCAATCAAGCCCACCACCCAAACTAGCCTAAACAAAGTACTCTACTTTCCAAAGCCACCAAACAACTTCCTCAAGCCAGACGATTTCTTCTTCTCCCCATCTTGCTCCGATCCAACCCACGCAGCCTCCCTCTCCCTCAACATATCCAAATACTCCCGCTCCTGCTTCAGCCTCGCCTCTCTAAGCCCCTCGCCAAACCCCAAAGCTGCAGGGCTTGCCGCGCCAGGACCACCATGAACAAGCATAGGCGCAGGAGCGTGACTCTGATGGGGTGCAGTATGTGCAGTATACCCATAAGCATTGCTCATATGGACGCCGTTATTCAGCATCCCCAGCTTCTCCTGGCCCTCCATGCTCCCCCGTCGCCCAGGTGCCACCCCACCTGCCTCTGGGAGGGACCCGTACGGGGAGTGATGTGGCATGCCAGGAGGGTGGTGGTACACCGCTGCCCCCCCAACATTCACTCCCCCCCCTGCTGCGATTGTGAGTGGTGCTGCTGATGATGCACTGGCCTCCTTCCCCTTGTTCTCCTTTCCTGGCTTCTCCCTCTCCTTCTCTTGCCCCTGCTGCTGCTCACTGCCTGGAGCAGCACTGGGGTTGTAACCATCAGCAGCCTCTGGCTCCTGGAAGGTCACAGTGCGACGGGCACGGCCGTTGGTGCTGCCATTGCCACTGTTTCCAGCAGCAGCGGTGGCAGTGGCGGCTGCAGTCTCAGCAGAAGTAGCAGGAACAGCCACAGCCGTTGTCTCAGCAGCAACAACAGCATCTGTTGCCGAGGCACCAGTAGCAGTTGCAGATGCTTCTTCAGAAATATCTTCAACAAGCATCACGTCACTGCTCTCTGCTGCCGCCACAACAGCCTGTTGCTGCTGCTGTTGCTGCTGCTGCTGCTGCTGCTGCTGGTCAGCCTGTCCTGTGGGCGTTTCACCTGCTGCTTGGTTCGTCTCTGCCTTGCCCTCCTTTCCACTCGCAGCACCAGCAGCAGCAGCAGCAACAGCAGCGGAGGGAACAGCATTCACAATGTCACGGCTGCGCCCATTCGCCCCACCAGTCACACTCCGCGGTCCCGATCCCGGGCTGGACAAAACTTTCCGCTGCCCGGCCCGGCACAGGTCAGGGCTCGAGGGCCGTGCAGCGACCCGCCCAGCTGCCCGTGCAGCACCAGAAACAGACGACCCACCAGCAGCAGCACCACCAGCTGTAGCCCCAGCAGCAGCGAGTCTCATGGCAGAGGAAGCAGTATGCTGGGAGAGGGACCTGCTACCAGCAAGGGACCCCAGGGTACCTCTCGCACCCGAGGTAATAGCGGTGCGGTTACCAGCAGTACCAGTAACGCCAGTAGTGGCAGTGGTGGTGCGGCGCCTCTCGATGCCAGAGGTGGAGGTGGAGCGGACGAGGCCTGTCGCCCCCCGCTTGAGGTGCTGCTGCCTCGCCTCCTGCTGCCGCTTCTTCTCCTCCTCCTGCGCACATGGGGGCAGGGGGAAGTGACGGGAGAGGGGGTGGGGAGGAGGGAAAAAGACTGAGATGGTTACCACCAGTAACGCTGGTAACGCCAGTAGCAGATGCGGCGCCTCTCGATGCCAGAGGTGGAGGTGGAGCGGACGAGGCCTGTCGCCCGCTTGAGGTGCTGCTGCCTCGCCTCCTGCTGCCGCTTCTTCTCCTCCTCCTGCACACACGAGGGGAAGGGAACAGGGAGGTGCAGGGGGAGGGAAGGCGAACGGGACAAGGCCTAGTGGGGTCATGCCTTTCCACAGAGAAGACATGTGTAAGACAGCAGGGAAGAAGAGAGCTCATCACACAAAAAACATACCCTGCGGCGAGCAGCCTCCTGCTGCTTCCATCAGAACCCGGTCCTGATGGTTGGTTCGAGGTACTGAGGACCAAAGGGGTAGGGGATAGGGGTTCAACCCATCAGAGACAGAGAGTGTGTTAACATACCCTGCGGCGAGCAGCCTCCTGCTGCTTCCTCTCCATCTCCATCAGAACCCGGTCCTGCGGATTCGCAGCCCGGCCCCGGCCACGTCCCGCACCCACACCAACAGCAGAAGACGACGACAAACTCCGCCCACGCGCGCCAATCCCAGCTCGCCCCGCCACACCGCTCCCCACCACTCCCCGCCCTCTCCCCGCCCCTCCCACTCCTCTTGCTCCCACCCCTGCTGCGCCCACTTTCCTCCCCACGCCCCTTCCTGCTGCTTCTCCTGCCGCCCTCTCAGCAGCAAGGCTCAGCTCCATATCATCCCCATACAGAGAAGAGGAAGAGGAGGAAGAACCATCCGCCCCTCCTCCCACCAGCATCGCCTCTCCCAGCGACGCCTCCCACGCCATCAGATCCTCGTGGTTCGACGGTCCAGATTCGTCCACAGGACCGCGGAGAGCATCTTCCCCGAGGAAATCGCGGGTAGATGAGTCTCCCCCCGCGCCTGCGCCTGCCACCACGCCCAGCATTTCCGCTTCCAGATTCGCGCCCCCGTTATAAGGCACCTGGTTAAGGGAACGGGAGCGGTCAAAAGCAGACACCCCTCCTGCCCCTCCTGCTGCAGCTGCTGCTGCTCCTCCCCCACCAGTAAGGTAATCAGGGGAAGGAGAGGAGGAGACACCGGACATGAGCATGAAATCATCTGAAAACGGCCCAGAGTCCGAACCAGCGCTGCTGCTGCCACTGCCAAGCCCGAAAAGCGCCCCATCAGTCCCTCCTGCTGCCACTGCTGCTGCGGCTGTGTTAGGCTGCTTGAGGAACGCCTGAGTGGTGGGATCCGTAAGCCAGTCCTTCCCTGCGAGTTCCTGCTCCAACGCCCTCTGCTCCTCCTCTTGCTTCTCCTTCTGCTTCTCCTTCTCCCTCTGCTCCTGCTCCCCCCGCTGCTTGCTCTCCTGCTGCAGCTGCTGGATCTGCTGCTGCTGCTGAATCAGCCGCTCCTGCTGCTGCATCTGCATCTGCAGCTGCTGCTGCTGCCGCGCCAGCAGGTCTTGCAGCATCTGCTGCTGCAGCTCCGCCTCCTGCTGATTCCCCGGCTGCATCAGCTGAACCTCCTGGATTCTCCGCATCAGCTCAGGGTCTAGAACGAGCTGTGACTGCTGCTGCTGCTGCTGCTGGCGCTGCTTGTTTCGCTGCTGCTGCCTTCTTTCCCCTTGAAAGCCCGCACCCTCGTAATCCTCCTCTTCCTCCTCATCCGCGTCATCAAACTCATCTGAGCCTTCAGCCACAGCAGACGGGCGCACAAACAGGTTTCCGCTCCCACTGCGCCGGAGCATCCCCATTCCCCCTCCCCCGCCTCCCCCCTTCCCCCTGCTCCAGCCGCTGCTGCTAGCGAATCCCCCGCCCGCACTCCCCGGACGCCCCGCAACTCCCAGCACCAGCATCTCCGCATCCGCACCGTTCATCGCATCCACATCAACGGTGCTGATGAAACTGTCGGCTTCGGACATATTCCCCATATCCTCCCCCGCTCCGCCTCCTCCGCCCGCCGCTCCCCTTGCGCCTCCGCCGCGCGCCCTTCCGCCAGGGAGACCGGAATCCGAGTCATAGTACCGCGCGCTGCTGACGTCAGCAAGCTCCCCATTGCGCTCACCGTTCCCAGCACCGGCGCCATCCGCGCCACCGCTGTTCCCCCACGAGCGGAGCTTGGGGGAGATGCGCGCAGCCGCTCGGTTCTTCCGCCCGCCACCCCCCATGCGGTGGTAGTGGTGGTGATGCACGCCGAACACCGGCTTTCCCCCGATCCTAACCGCCCCCGGCGGCCCTCCCCCCATTCCTCCGCCGTTCCCCCCTCCGCGCCCGAACCCCGCCATGTCTGTAGCGCCGGGGAACTGGCCGGCGGCGGCTGTAGCGCCGGGGGCTACAGCCACGAGGCCATAAGGGAAGGGAGAGCCGGGGGTGTAGCCAGGCGAACCGGGAGTATACATCGGTACGAAGGAGTACGGGCCGGTATGGGCGGCACCACCAACGGGTGTGCCTATAGCGAAGGGTCCAGCAGCCGCAGCTTGAGAGTCTCCGCCGGCTTCGGCGGCCTCCGCAGGGTCGGCGATGGTGGCGGCGTCCGGGGCGAGGGGGAGCCAGACTGCGGACACGGCGGGAGGGGTGGCGGGCGGCGGGTTGGCTTGGAGCTCCCGGCGGAGGAGGAGCGTGGAGAATTGGACGCACGCTTGCCTGGGGAAAGGGAGGGGCACGTGTGGACACGTGGGAGGCACACATGGGGGGGACGTGCGTGACACGTGGGGTACGTGGGGTTGATCAGAGTGCGGGCATTGACAAGGAATGGAGGTGCGGACTCTGGAAGTGAGGGGAAGAGGTAGTAAGGGGGAACTGGGGAGGAGTAGGGCAATTCAAATACGGGGGATGTGAAGAAGAGAGGGAGGGCATATGAGGGGGGAGTGAGGGTGAGTGGCGCTCAGGTGAGGCGGGACGAGCGGCGAGGGGGGGGGAGCGAGGGGGGAGAACGGGGGGGGGGAAGGGGTGATGGGGAGAGGAGTGGGGCGCTCACTTGAGACGCGGGGCGTCGAAGCAGTCGGCGAAGAGCAGCAGCGACGAGAGGACGTCGCGCGTGAAGCCGCCTGCTGCTGCGCGCGCCACCGCCACGTTCTGCTCGCGCCTCAGCATGCCCAGCCGCATGTGCATCGCCTTGCGGATGCGCCTAACACGGGTGGAAGGGGAGGTGGAAGGGGAGGTGGAAGGGGAGGTGGAAGGGGAGGTGGACGGGGAGGTGGAAGGGGAGGTGGACGGGGAGGGGGAAGGGGAGGGGGAAGGGGAGGGGGAGGGAGAATGAGGGAAACGGAAGGGGAGGGAGTGGGGAAAGTGAAGCGGAGGGGAATGGGAGACGGACAGGGAAGGGGAAGGGAAGGGAGAGGGGGACGAGGGACGGGGGAGAAGTTGGCAGGGGAGTTGAAGAAGAGGGAGTTGAAGCAGTGAGGCGCTCACTGTCAGATTGTGCATCTGCTTGCGGGTGGGAGTTGAAGAGAATCACAAAAGCAGAAGACGATGTTACTTATGAGAGTTCTCAAAAGTAACATCACCATAATTGGCAGGGGAGTTGAAGAAGAGAGTTCACAGTCAGATTGTGCATCTGCTTGCGGGTGGGACTTGAAGAAGAGAATCACCAAGATACCGAAAGCAGAAGCCCGGGACTAAGTCACTACGTCACTACGACACTCACATGATGAGCTCGCCTCCTTCCTCGTTGCCGTTGCTCTCCGCCACCGTTCGCAACCCGTTCTGTGAGTGAGGAAGGGAGGGAGAGCCGGATGGGGAAAGAGCGAGAGTGAGGGAGAGAGAAGGGGAGAGGGAGAGATAAGGAGAGAAGGAGGGTCGGTGAGTGGGTAGAATGTGAGAGGGAAATGTAGTTATTGTGTGAATAAGCGGATGATAAGTTTGTCATAATGTGCGGAAGGATGCGACTTGGCGACTCCCATCCCATCGCACCTGAATGAGTCGCCGGATGGGCGACGGCGAGCGAGAGCTGGAGCGTCGCGCACGCAGCGAGCTGTCGCGAGTGAGCGACATGCAGCGATCGTCGCCGTCGAAATCTGGAAAACGAGGCGAGAGAGAGAGAGGGAAAGGGCAGCGACGGAGAGAAGAGAGAGGAGGAAGTGGGAAAGGGGTTGAGAGAAAGGAGTGAGAGAGTAAGGAAGAAGTAGCTGGCAGGGTGGCGCCACCGCTTAGACTCGTGTGAAGCAACATGGAAGCGACAGACTCGTAATACGTGGTGACGATGAAACAGGGAATCCAGCGATGCTGAGACAAGGCGCGCGTAATACGTGGTGACGATGGGAGGCATGGTAGGGCCGTTGTGGTTATGAGGCAGAGCAAAGCGGGTGGGTGCATTTTGGTGCCGTTTTGCATGATATGCTTGGCACGAGCTTGCACGTGCTGGCACGTGCTGGCACGTGTTGGCATGTGTTTTCATGTGCTGGCATGCGTTGACAGGATTGGCATGATCGACAGGTGCTGGCAACATTGACGTGTGGGCATAATAGCAATATGCTGGGCTGGGAGACGGTCAAACCTGCATCGGACTTGGTGTCGTTCTGAGGCCCAACGGTGCACATGAAGGTGAAAAGGGAGAGGGGACGGAAGGGGGGGACGGGAGGGGAGGAGAGGGGAGGGGGGAGCGGATGGGAGAGAGGTTGGGAGAGCGCAAATTACGGGAGGGACTGGAGAGACAGGAAGGGCGGAAGGGATCAGCGTGCCAGTGAAAGGGAGAGAGAATTGAACAATCTAATGCTCCGTCTCACACTGGCAAAAAGGCACGCTGACGGTAAGGGTAGTAAGCACCACATTCAGCTACGTGCATTACAAGAGATAGCCAAATGCTCTTAGTCTCGCATATATCCAAACGGAAGCCTCGCCGCACCTGGCCGTAGTCGGCGGGGGGAGAGGCAGAGGGATCGGCGGTGAGCGATTCCTCGAGGTGCAGCAGCTCCCTCTCGATCGCCACGGCGTGCTCGATGAGCCCTGGGGAGCTGATGAACGACACCGCCCTGGTGGGGGATAAGAGAGGAGCGAAGGAGCAGCACGGAGAGAGGTTGGATACAGGGGGGATGAGGGCAAGAGGGGTCGGCGGTGAGCGATTCCTCTCGATTGCCACGGCGTGCTCGATGAGCCCCGGCGAGCTGATGAACGACACCGCCCTGGTGGGAGAAAGGAAGAAAGTGGAACAAAGGACGGACAGAAAGGAGAAAGTTTGAGGAAAGAAGGTGGAAGAGGGTGGTCACGGCGTGCTCGATGAGACCCGGCGAGCTGATGAACGACACCGCCCTGGTGGGAGGGAGGACAGGAACGGAAAGAAACGAAGGAAGGAGAACGATTCACGAAGGAAGACGGCGAAAGAGGGGTCGATTCGCAGCGAGTCGCCGAGGCATGTTTCTCGTGGCTTCGACTATTTCCATGCCCCATCGCGATCTTGGTGGGTCATGGAATCAGCCTCTCAAGGACACTATCGCCTCGAATTTAGTGAAATGATAACCAGTCGTAGGTGTTAATCGTGCCACGAAACTGAATGATCAGCACCTGGATCGCCATAAGAGCCCTTATCATTCCATTCCATTGTGGTTCTCGTGAACCAGTAGACGGATTTGTCAACATCCGGGCTGTTCACTGATTGGACGGTGGATAAGACCATATACCTTTCCACAGTGCTCCTTGTGGCCCACGCGATCAACTCTTCAACATCCCGTCGTCCTGTTGAGGCGCCTCAACAGCACAAGACCTTACCTTTCCACGGTGGTTCTCGTGAACCAAGAGATCAACTCGTCAACATCCGCGCCGTCCTCCTCCTCCTCTGGCGGAACATACCCCCCCCGCAGCTTCTGTCTCTGGAGATTCAGGAAATGCGTGCGTGTGCGCGGGTCGAGCTTGATCAGGTGCGAGCCGCTGCTGAGCTGATCCTCCACCGCCTTTATGTGGCTCGCGAACGGCTTGAGAAGGCCGGACGAAATGACCGTTGTGCTGCCATTGAGCGAAATCAGAACCTCGCACCTGCGACGAACGGTCACACCAAATTTTCAGGGAACCGAACCAAAAATGTATTTTTGTAAGTATATTGTCCCGGTTCCCGAGTTCGATAAAATACTGCATAGATGCAGCTACGATGGAAGAAGCTGCTGATGGCATGGGATGGTGCTGGAAAGTGTCGGGGGTAGGCGTCACCTGCTTCGTGTCGGGTTAAGCGTCAGCTGAATGTTCTCTAAAATGGTAGCCTCCATCTTGAAGGTCGTTCTTGCGATAGGCGACGAAGCCAATGAACACGCTAAAGGAACATCGGTGTCCTCAACACCTACGGGAACGTTTGAGAAATGGATTAAGCCTACTAGTTGCCAGGAGCACTGGCTAAAGCGATGGACTAATGGTGAATTAAAAGCACTAGAACTCGGACTGAACAGGTTGCAGGGTAAACGAGCTGAACTGCTGACTGTCAGTCTGAAACATGAAATGCGAAGGATGGAGTTGTGCAGGGATGGAATGAAATGGAGTTCTCTAGGAAAGGCGGGGTTGACAGTGACGAGAGGGGCGGAAATGGCTGATTAGAAATTCAGGCACACACATGCCTGCCCATCCCAGTCGCCATTCGCAACCAGACCACAAGGCGCCCGCAGCTGCCGAACCGAAAGCCTGACCAAATGGTGGCGACACAGTGCCGTCGCTGCGGTTCGCAAGGGCTTCCCCAGCCATGATGCGAAGGTTACGCTACTGGAGCCCGGTGTGGAATATTGGTCGCACACGTTCGTGTGGTTCTCGGCCAACAAGGGCGAACGTGTACGACAAGGATGCGACATGCTGCTTCGAGGTCCAAGCCTGTGATAGGGAAGAGTACAGGCACGGTTTGTGCTCCAGAGTGGAGCAGTCTCGGAGCTACGCGACTCGTAGTTTGAACCAGGTCACTGTAAGGTATTTCAATTTTGGCGGGAAATGTAAAAGTCGAAGCTAATCAAGAAGCTCGTATACTATCCGAGCCTCCTCCAGTTGAAGCCCCCATTGCCTCGCAGCGACGTGGGTGCGACACCCTTGGCACGTCGCCAAGGGCTGGCTTGCTTCCAAGCTCATCCCCGACCCTGCCTTGGAAAAATACACATCAGCATGATGGCATTTACGCGTGAATTGCGGGTTGGGGAAGATTCAAGCGGAGGAAACAGGTGGTGGTCAAGCATCCACTTGGAAGACGAATAGTCACCAGGATTGATTTCGCAACAGGTCGCTCGTTACACAGTTGTCAGGTTTGAGGCACAGCGCTCACTATGATGTTTCTGCACTTAGACGTTTGAAATGCATAAGACATTGTGAAAAGTGCTTGTGGAAACACCAAGTTCCATGAACGATGACGGGCAAAAATGTCAATCAACTGGCGTTTGAGATGACGGTTTAGATTGGACGATGCTTATAGGTAGGGGAGTTATCTTCAAGTGCTACCACCATAGCACAGCCTTCCAGGCAGCTGAACGCCCTGTCCCAAAGTATGTATGTCATCGAACACATTCTGCAATCCTCTTGCTGCAGATATTCTGCTTATATACCCCATAATAATTTTCTCATGAAGGGGACAAGTCACAACACCATCTTTTAGAGAATGCCCAACCACTGCCCAATTAGTCAACATGCAGGCACTGTCTCTAAACAAGCAAACAATGTGAACGTCTCAAAGTTTATCCACCTGCAGACAAGGGCCAATCATTATCCGCCAAGGATTCCACTCGCCTCCTCCTCCCTGCATTTCCTAAACTTATCCGGCCTCCATCATATCTACCACCTCTAACGTCTACACCACCAGCTACGCTTCTTCCTTCCACATGCCAGTTCACTTCTTCAGCTCCCAAACCTGCCATTTCGCTCCGTCTCCCCTCCTCCCCCCTCTCCAGCAATTCCTCTTCCCCCACTGACGCCCGGTGGTCATGGGACCACTCCTGCTGCTGCCCCAGAGAATCACCACCACCACCATGAACTGCCTCCTTTTGCCGCACCCCTAACATAGACACAGACTCTTGAATAGAACCTCCCATAGACCCCGGGATAGGCCCCGGGATAGGCCCCCACTGCCACAGTGCAGAACCATCCTCATCACCATACACCACCCCACCCCTTACACCCTCTTCCTCTTCCTCCCACCCCCCTGCCATCACCCCGCCCTCACTCACCCCTTCGCTCCTCCCTTCCCACTCCTCCACCTCTTCTCTCACAAACCCCTCCTCATCATCCTCCTCTGCAAGCCAGTCCCACTGAGCACCACCCCAGTCGTCCTCCTGCCCGCCTTCCCACTGCCGCAGCACATGCAGTGCTCCCTCCTCCCCTCGTCCGCCCATCCCCTCCCACTCGCCCACCACATGCAAAGGAGAGTCTCCCACCATCTCATGCACACGAACAGGGGCGTCATTTCTAGAAGAAGCAGCTCTGGAAAGAGAAGAACTTCCATAAGAATTTCCAGAGGAAGAAATGATGGGAGAGGAGTCACCTTCCCCATACCTCTCCCCATACCCTTCCCCCCCATGTCCTTTTCCATAACCTTCCTCGCGCACCACAGGCGCTACCAGCCCTCCCACTATCTCCGCATATCCCACCACTTCCTCCCCTCCCCGCTCAACTTCCCTCTCCATAGGAATATTCACCTTTCGCTCAGCCTCCCCTCCGCCCAACTCTCTATGCCCCTCCACGCCAGGACTATACTCGTTACTGTCATGTCCAGTACCAGCATACGCTCTCGCACTGTACTCATCAGCCCAGTACTTATGCTCCTCGGCATCAACCTGCCGTCCCCACTCTCTCTTCCCTCCTTCCACCCTCAGAGGCACCCCTACTCGTTGATACACCCCGTTAGTAACCCCTCCGTTTGCAGCATTAGCAGCCATGAGTGCCAAACCTACAGTAACCCCCACTGCGCCGCCCAATCCGAGCACCGTGCCACCCAACGACCCAAGCTGACCGAGAGGCTTGGAAAACAGGTTCGGCTTGCTGCACACGTTCCGGAGCAAGCCTGAGAACCCAGACGAAACCTGCCGAGCCATGCCGCCCGTAAGAGCGTCAACAAGACGGAAGCTATTGTTCAGGAAAGGATGGGCTAGGCGCTGCAGTGGCAGCAGAGGCAGGGGGACCAGGCGCGAGGCAGAAGAAACGGAGGGAGGCTCTAGAGCTAGAGGATCCGGAGCAGATGCAGAAGGAGCAGGAAAAGTGGAGGAGAAGGTGTCAGGGGAATCAAGAGCTGAAGCACTGGTAATGGCAACAGCGGCAGCGGCAGCAGCAGCAGCAGGTGAGACGTGCATGATTGCAGAGGCATCATCAGCAATTGTTATTCCAGCTGCTGGTTTTACTACTTCCTCCGCTCCCATCTCCTCCTCCTCCACCTCCTTCGGTTGTTCCTGATCAATCGGCAGCAGCGGCGGAGGCGAGGGGAAGCCTTCAGGTGAAGGTGAGGGGGGAGATGATGACGTGGAAATGGGTGACGTGGAACAAAGAGGTGTGACGTCAGCAGATGCGTTTGACTTGCGTTGACTGTTACGAAGATCTGCTTCCTTGCTCCTCATATTATTGAGAGCTGTGCCATCTGCGCCATCATTATTGCCTCTGTTCTTCCTGCAACCACTGTCACTGCCACTGCTCCTGCCAGTTCCGCTGCCCCTGCCACTGCCACTGCTGCTGCCGCTGTCACCTCTCCTTGTGCTATGGTTGCTCTTTGCACGGCCTGGTTGCTGCTGTTGCTGTGCCAAGAAAGTCACCAACGAGTTAGGGTGGACGACTGGGTTGGTCTTATCGGTGCTACTAGAACTGTCGCGTTTGTCCCTATTACAGGAATGAGGAGACAGCAGGGCTGGACCGGAATGGTGGGTCTGAGAAGAGTGACGGTTCTGAGGAGAGTGACGGCTGTGAGAAGAGTGGTGGGTTTGAGAGGAATGATGGGTATGAGCAGAGCGGGAATGGGGGCTGCGAGGGCTGTGCGTGTTAGCCTGGGAACGTCGGGAGCGAGGGGAGTGTGCGGAGCAGCCGGAGCAGGCAGAGGAGGAGGAGGGAGAGCGGGCAGGAAACGAGGGCTTGCCAGCAGCAGTATCAACAGCTTTGTGCGACTGTGACGGCCTAGTCGCGGATACTCCGCTTCTCCTCCTCCTGTTGCTCTCGCTGTTGCTGCTGCTGCTACGGCCGCTGCCAGGAGCAGCATCAACAGCCGGTGCTGTTGCGGTAACCAGACGTCCAGAGGACTGCTTGGCATTGTGTCGTGCGGGGCTTTCTTCTGCTACAGGGATGTCTGCTCCTGGCAGGATCTGGGCGAGACTGGCGATGAAGTGAAGCAACTCCCTCACCACCTGAAGGGTTGGGAAAGACAGAAGAAACAACAGAGAGGCAAGAATTGAATGGCGGGTTATGAAAAAACACAACAAGCTGGCCAAGAAGTAAAACACAACTCCTTATGACGTGAGGGGTTGGGAGTGGCGAATTGAGCGGAGTTGATGCATGGAAGTGACCAGGAAAGGAAGGAAAAGTTTCAAGACACACTGGCCACGAAGTGAAGCAGATGAGGAGGTTCGGACACATGACACAGAAAGCAAGCAGGGCACATGGGATGTTGCTTGGAAACAAACGAACAACAAAAGAGATGGAAAGAGGAGCAGACGAAGTGCTATGCAGGCTAGCAGCCATACCGCTTCCTCCCGGCCGTGGTGGCTCTCCCCTTGCGACCACACCACGCGCAGCGCCATCTGCAGCTCCGTCACTGCTCTTCCGCGCGCGTCCGCCGCTGCTCTTCCGCGTTCCCCTCCACGTGATTCCCTGCCATAATGGCTCTTTGGGTGCTTCACCCGCTCTCCCGGCCCCCACTCTTGCATCTCCCGCTGCTGCTGAGCTTGCTCCAGCTGCAGCTGATGCTGCAGAACCTGCTCCTCATCCATCAACCGCTCCAAACCGCTCTCGACCATCTCCAGAGAATCCCGCAGAGCAATGAGCACTCGCGCCTCCGCAGTACCCTCCCCCAGCCTCGAAGCTCTTCTCGAGCCCATGGCAGGCAGAGACAGCCGGCCATACTGCAGCGCGTGCAGCGTCTCATGCTGCGTGTGCTGCTCCTTGTTCTGCTCCTTCTGCTGCTGCTGATGGCTTGGAGCGTCAGCCTGACCACGCTCTGACAGAGAGGAAGGCGCCTTGGATGATGAGCTGCAGTGATCAGCGAAACGATACGCACGCCACAGAAGAGATCAGTTCCGGTTACGTCTAGGAAACACATCCCGGAAACACGTCCGGAAATCCCATCCGGAAAATGCTTACGGAAAATGGCTTGGAAGGGGAATCAGTGCACGGCATAAGTGAAAGCGCATTGCACAGGACAGGGAATGGGAGAGTTTGGACGCCTCAAAACACGGAAGCTGAGAGTCAGGTGCTTACTTGCGAGAAGACGATGTGGACAGATCAAGCGGAAACTTCGACGAAAGAATGAGCGGGCTCGAGCTGAAGACGTCTCTATGAGTTCGGGTTTGAGCTTGCTTGAGGTTCTCGTGTGCAGGTTGATGTGAATCAGGGTGTGTGGTGCTTGACGTCGTGTCTCGCTGGCTTGACCTATAATGGAGAGATAAACGGGAATAAAAAAGGACGATACATCAATGACGCGACTATGTGATGAGTGGATTGAAGTGCAATAAACTGAATTAGAACATGTTTATCATCATACCATGATGCTTGTAGGATGACAAGAAAACAATTACCAGCAAGTGTAAATGTTTGAATAAGACGTGACATGATTGCGCGTGCGTGGCTTACCATGATCGTGCAGTTAACGGAGCAGACGCTGACGTCGCTAAAATGAAATCGCTTTGCAGGCTCCTTTCGATCGCGTCGCTAATGTTTTCGTGAATGTTCGCAGCGCACCGAAGCAACTCGCAAAAATGCTGCTGAGACTCCATCTGATAACGATGAACTTCCAGGCTCTTCCAGGCGTATGACTGGAACCTATGTAAGAACGCCTCAAATTAACAATGATCCTCTTGCATCCAACCTATTGTATCCAACCTAACACTGACATAAGCTCCGTGGGCTTATGAAAAAGAAGCATTTTCCATCTGCTACGAAATTCTTACAGACAGGACACATGATGCTGGAAAGGCATAGCTCATGCTAGTCCAGCTGAATTACAGCTATGATGAACTAGGAAACTGTTCTCTAGGTTTAGAGAGCTTCTCTAATCTCCCTAGCTTTGAGCCCTGTCTTGGTTGATAAAGCTGGGGATACATAACAGAGTGAAATGTGAACGAGGCACACGAGGTTTCACGAAGCGGTTACCTCCTGTGGTCGAAACAGTCTTGAAGGAGAGGGGCTGAAACACCGATCAAACACCGCCACATGGCGAACACTGGTACACTCGACATGCACGATCAACGGTGAAACGACGGAGCGGGGCTACAGAGGTGGAATTGGCGGTATGGATGGGCTCGCCACGTTTGACAAAGGGCGACGCAACCATCGCACGTCGCGCACATGCATCGGAACATCGACTACCACGTCCACGGAACGAGTGATCGCCACCATTGCAACATATAATAAGCGACCCTCCGGGACTCCGTTAGAAAGTACGGCACTACTGCATATGGGCGCTGTACAGACCCATTACATTAGCCTTTACACGGTTGGTTGAACAACAAGCCCTTCCGCAAGACGCGGTAAGGGAGAGATTTCGCCTTCATGGAAGTCTTGTTTTACATACTGGTTTTTGTGTGAGAAGTGTATATTGCGATCATCTAGGTGAACCTTTGAAAGCGACACACCACCCAACAATAATTGCCAGGCCAGGATTTTGTTCGAACCGCGCAGACAGTGCCGATTGTCTGATGGTCGAATCACATAGTGAATGAATACAGGGACGAGGCAAAAGGTTCAAGTTCACAAACAGCACTAGCAGGAAACATAGTCGGTTCAACGTAGTAATTGATCTGAGTACTGTCTCGCTCTTCTCTGCTCGCGACGGTGATGCATTTCACTAATTACGACCTTTCGAACAAAGAGGGACCCTCCAGCTTCTAGCGCACAAATTCGAGCGCAAATATAATCTGGCGGGATCTAGTCTGGAACGCATTCTTCTCACTGTTGCACGTTCCTCGCTGTGCTCTAAAGTCACTCCCGCACTCGCAGGCGAGTCGCAGTCGCCAGGCTTCTAAACTCAATCCCTCTTATATCTCATCTCCTCTTAGAACTCGATTGTTCCCAACTTTTGATCACTCGTGCCGCTGTGGCCGTTGCCACGAGAATGTTCTGCGCGTGCTGCTGCGCGTAGAAAGGTTATTTTTTAGACGTCTCAAAAATAACCTTTCTGGCCGTTGCCATGAGAATGTTCTGCGCGTGCTGCTGTGCGCAATGCTGCGAGTCGCTCGGCTCGTGCTGCTGCGCGGCGTGCTCTCTGGGGACGTCGCGGCGCGTCGCGAAGTATATCTACGGGCTCCTCTTCCTCCTCGCGCTCGTCCTCATGTGGTGCTTGCGGGACTTCGGCCATACCGCCCTCATGCATCCACCCAGTGAGTAGTGCCGGCGTTACGATTTATAGTGGCTCGTGCTGACTAATACTGACTCGTGCTATAGCGAATCAGTCCTCATGTGGTGCTTGCGGGACTTCGGCCAACAGATCTCACGCATCTACCCAGTGAGTAGTAAGGCGTTACGATTTATAGTGGCTCGTGCTGTAGTGAGTCATGCCGCGCTCATATATCTACCCAGTGAAAAGAATGTCCTTTTCTGAACCATGGGCTCGAATCGTGGTCGCTGTCGCTCATTTTCTTCTTCTCCCTCCCTCCCTCCCTCCCTCCCTCCCTCCCTCCCTCCCTCCCTCTTTCCCTCCCCTCCCTCCCTCTTTCCCTCCCCTCCCTCCCCCCCTCCCTCCCTCCCTCCCTCCCTCCCTCCCTCCCTCTCCCCCTCCTGATCACAGCAAATTTCAAGAAGTGCAAGCATACCGAGCAGATGTCGTTCTGACTCTCGAATAAGCTCAAATGCATTTACTTCCCTCCCTTCGCCCCCATATTTCCCACAGGCTTCAAGGAGTGTAAGCCGGGCGATTAGGCGTGTACAGCAGCAACCGTGGTGCTGTGCACGGGGCTCGGCATGTCGCTATTCTTCGCCCTCATGTCTGTAACCACCACGGGGGCGCGCGTGGATGCCCCCCCTTTTTCCCCCTCCTCACAGGCTTCAAGGAGTGTAAGCCAGGTGACCAGGCGTGCACAGCAGCGACGGTGGTACTCTGTACAGGGCTCGGCATGTCGCTCTTCTTCGCCCTCCGCCCTCATGTCTCTCACCACCATGGGCGTCCCTGCTGCCCCGTGTGTGTCCCTCCTCTTCTTCCTCCCTTCAGGCTTCAAGGCATGCCAGCAGGGCGACCAGGCGTGCACAGCAGCGACGGTAGTTCTCTGCACGGGGCTCGGCATGTCGCTCTTCTTCGCGCTCATGTCTGCAACCACAACGGGGGCGCGCGTGGATGGCGGGGCCCGTGACACGTGGCACTCCGGCTGGTGGCCGCCCAAGCTGCTGCTCTGGGCGGCATTGCTTGGCATGACAGTCTTTCTTCCTCTAGGTAGGTGCCTTGACTTATGAGTCGACTCAAAAGGGGTCCGTGACACGTGGCACTCTGGCTGGCGGCCGCCCAAGCTGCTGCTCTGGGTGGCATTGCTTGGCATGACAGTCTTTCTTCCCCTAGGTAGGTGCCTTGAACTAGTCAGCAAAAACAGTCAAGCGAGGGAACAGAAGGTTCAATGCATTTGAAAATCATGTATGCAAGGTTAAGATTTTTTATTTTGGTACGGTATGCTCATAGGAGTCTCACTACCCTACTAGTACCTGCCTAGACCGTATGGTATGATGTAAAGGACTCTCCTCTACTTTGCAGGAACTGGGATTTGTACTAATCACTAGAGCACACTCTTGGCTTTCCAAGGAGCCGTAGAACACGTAATTCGCCCAAGTATCGGCTGAGATACGGCTTTCAACGTGCTAGGTAGTGCTCTAAGATTGAAGGATAGAAAGTCTCTGGATTTTGTGTCGAGTTGAACCGTGTATAGAAAACTCTGATTTTCAGTATGAAACATGCATACAGCAACTAGTTTTATATCATGCAATCAACATCGAACCGCGTTCGTAACATCGCATCGCTACACTTCGCGAATGTTCTCGTAACATTTCGAAGTGGTGAAATTCGACACTCGAATTTCACTCATCCGAATGTTCCTTCAAGTCTCAAACTTTCTGGTGCTGCCATGTGGCACCGAATTGGTTGAGTCTTCCGAAGTCAATCTTCAGCCCCACGCCAACCTGCAGCTCACTCGAAGGTGAGAAGCAAAAGCAGCACCGTTCGGTGGTTGGGGGCAAAACCTAGCCCCACGCAACCTCCAACACTCCCCCTTGCACCCAAGCCACTAGGTGCTCAATCCAACACGCTCACAGCATGCACGGAATGAATCCTTAGGGAGTGGTTTAGTGAGGAAGTCCGCGGGTTGAGCTTTGGTGCTTATGTAAGTGAGTTTGACCTCACCCTTCTCAACTGCCTCACGAATGAAGTGATGCTTCACTTCGATATGCTTGGTTCGCCCATGAAGGACCGCGTTGTGCGAGAGGCTTATGGCGGCTTGGTTGTCACAAAAGAGAGGAGTTGGGTTCGTTTGAGGATGCCCAAGCTCCGCTAGAAGACGTCGTAGCCATATCGCCTCCATGGCACCTTGAGTGAGTGCCATATACTCCGCTTCCGTTGAGCTTAGAGCCACGGTTGGTTGCTTCTTGCTTTGCCAACTCACGGCCGCCCCAAGCAAGGTGAAGACATACCCGGAGGTACTCTTGCGCGTGCTCGGATCTCCCGCGTAGTCCGAGTCGGCATAGCCCTTGAGTTCAATCGGGCCGGCTTCATACACGAGCCCCAAGTTAGGTGTGCCTTGGAGGTAGCGTAGAACGCGTCCTCCCGCGCGCACATGCTCGGTATGAGGGTTGCTCACGACTCGTCCAAGCACCCCGGCGGCGTATGCGAGGTCGGGACGAGTAGAAACGGCGGCATACATGAGCGAGCCCACTAGCGAATGAAACCGCTTCCCTTCGGCTTCATCGAGGGTGGATTCTTCCTCTTCCGTGAGGCAAGAGAACCCCGTAGCTAGTGGTGTTCCCACCGGTTTGCTATTGCCCATGCCGAAGCTCTCCACTACCCCCTTCACATACTTCTCTTGGTGGAGGTGGATGGTCCCGTTGGCTCGGTCACGGTCAACGTGCATCCCAAGGTAGTACGTGACCGGCCCCAAGTCCCTCATAGCAAACTCCGCCCCTAGCCGTTGCTTGACCTCCCGAATGAGGTCTTTGGAGTCGGAGAAGAGGAGTAAGTCATCGACGTAGAGTAAAAGCACCAATTGCTTCTCCCCCTCCTTCAACACGTACAAAGCGCTATCGCACTCGCTACGCGCGAAGCCGTGTTGAAGAAGAAAGTCGTCGATGCGCTTGTACCATCCGCGTGGACTTTGCTTCAAGCCGTAAAGGGTACGCTTGAGCTTCCACACCCTTCCGCTACCGTCATCATACCCCGGGGGTTGCCGCATGTAGACTTCTTCCATAAGAAGCCCGTAGAGGAAGGCGGTGCAAACGTCCAATTGCTCCACCTCGAGATTGAGGGATGCCGCTAACGCGAGCAACACCCGAAGAGTTGTAGCCTTAGCGACGGGAGCGAAAGTCTCGCTATAGTGCTCCCCCTCCCGTTGAGTGTATCCTTGAGCTACAAGCCTCGCCTTGTAGCGTTCGACACTCCCATCGGCTCCCAACTTCTTTGTAAACACCCATTTGCACCCCACCAAGTAGGCACCCTTCGGCGGGTCGACGAGCTCGAACACATCGTTCTCCTTGATCGATGCTAGCTCCTTCTCCATCGCTTGCTTCCATAGAGGTGCATCCGGAGAAGCCAAAGCCTCCGCGTGAGTGCGAGGGTCATCTCCCATGGTTGCGAAGCAATATGCCGCACGCTCCTCATCCAACTCCCCAACGGCTACCGTAGCGTAGTCGGCTAACTTCGTGTTGGGGCGAGGTGTACGACGCCCACGGGTCAACGCCAATGGTAGGGAAGAAGGTGCGGAGGGAGTTGCCTCCTCGGTTGGTGGCACCTCCACGACATCGTCATCGCTCTCCTCGTTCTCTCCCCCTCCACTTTCGGCTTCATTGTCCACTTGTGATGGAACCTCCACCGCCTCATCCTCCTCTCGTGCGGGAAGTACGACGGTGTGTTGCGGCATTGGTTTCCTTCGACGGAAACTTGTCTTCGTCGAAGACCACGTCTCGAGATGTGACGACGCGCCTTTCACCCAAGTCCCACACTCGCCATGCACGCTCGTTTGCCGCAATTCCCAAGTAGATTGCCGCACGAGCCTTCGGTTGCAACTTGTCACGAAGGGGATCCGGGACATGGTAGTAGCAAAGGCACCCAAAGGTGCGAAGGCGGGATAGGTTCGGCTTCGTTCCGGTCCATGCTTCGAACGGAGTCGTTCCCGGGAGCACCCTCGTCGGCAAACGGTTGCGAATCCACGCCGCTAGCGAACTCGCCTCGCCCCACCACTCGCTCCCAAGCTTGGAGTGTTGAAGAAGAGAACGAACGGCTTCCACCAAAGTGCGATTAAGCCGCTCCGCCGCTCCATTTTGTTGGGGTGTGTAGGGTGTTGTGACGTCGTGCTTAATGCCCTTGCACTTCATCCATTTCTCGAGCTCCGCATTCACGAATTCGCCACCACCATCGGTGCGAATACACTTGATCCGCTTCTTGTCGTCGTCGCAAACTTCGAGCGCCCACTCTTGAATCGCCTTGGTCGCATCCCCCTTAGCCTTCAAGAGTCGGGTCCAACACATCCGCGTCGCGTCGTCGAGCATCACCAAGAGGAACCGCGCTCCTCCCTTTGATGCATGCCGCATCGGTCCACACACGTCCATGTGAACAAGCGCAAGCGGGTCCTTAGCGAGGAGAGAGGTACGGCTACCAAATGGCTTGCGAGCCATTTTTCCTTCGACACACGCCGCGCACACGCCCTTCTCGTCGTCGCCGGCGATCACGTCGACTCCCTTCGCTAGTCCTTTGTTGGCCAACGCCTTGACCGATTCGTAGTTGGCGTGCGCAAGCCGATTATGCCACGCATGGAGAGTCGCCTTGGACCCTTGCGCCACGTTGGAGGAAGCCGCTCTCGGGTGCGTCTTGAGTTGGTAGAGTTCTCCGTTGAGAACGCCTTGTGCGAATTGCTTCCCCTTCCAAATGAGGTTCATCGTCGCGCCATCGATGGTGAACTTCACATCCTTCTTCGCGAGTTGAGTGACGGAGAGTAGATTTACCTTCAACCCCGGGACGTGAAGCACATTCGTGATGTCCACCGGTCCGCCATCGACGATGAGACGCGTACTCCCAACTCCGACCACCGGTAGCGACTTGTTGTTTCCGAAGACGACACGCGTGACGTCTCCCGGTGCACCAACGTTGGTGAGGAACGATGCCGAGTGCGTCATGTGTTGCGTTGCGCCGGTGTCGAGGAACCACGCGTCGCTTGGAGTGTTGGTCCCGTCACCGGCCAATAACACGATCAACTCCCTTGTATCATCCGCCTCGCCGGATAACGTGTGCGCGTTGCCCTCGTGGTTCCGCGCCTTCGATGGAGTCCAATCGCTCGGCCGCTTCCGACACTCTCGCCAAAAGTGTCCCGCTTTGCCGCAATAGTGGCACTTGCTCGCGCCATTCGATGTGTTTCCCTTGCCGCGATCGCTTCCACCGTACGACTTCTTCGTCGTTCCCTTCTTCCCTTTCCTCCGGAACTCCCTCCGGAGAACATGGCGGTCTCCACGTTCTCATTAGCGAATTGTCGGCGACGCGATTCTTCATGGAGAAGCCGACCGACCACCATTTCCTTCGTCCAAGTGTCTTGCACGCTATCGAGTGTCGTAATCACCGTCGACCACTCTTCCGGAAGGCCGCATAGCAAGGTCAAAATCCAATCCTCCTCCGTGACCGTTCCACCGAGGTCCATGAACGTTTCCCCGAGTTCCTCCACACGAGTCGCATACTCGTGCATCGATTCGCCCGCGCGCATCTTCACCGTGTAGAACGCGTTCCGGGCTAGGATCTTGCCGTGGAGAGTCTTGTTCACGTGGATGGTCTCAAGCCGCTTCCACGCTTCATGCGCCGACGCTTCGAGCTTGATGCACATGCGCACCGAACTCACGAGGTTGATGCCGATGCGCGAAATCAACGTTGCGAACGCCTTTTGGTCCTTCTTCTTCCATGCCGCGATGCCGCTCTCATCGTCCGGCTTCTTCTCCGTTCCATCGAAGTAACCCCAAAGTCCCCGCTCCATCATGAGCACTTGGAACTTAAACTTCCACGCGGAGTAGTTTTGTCCCGTGAAAATCGGTACCGCCGACGTGTCGAACATCGTCGAGGTTGCCCAGGGTTCGCCGGAATTCGAGACGACACCACCTGAGGAAGTGCCGGAGGCTTCGCTTGACGACATCATGCTTGCTCCTTGTCGCGCGCGTAGACTCCTCCGACCAGCTCTGATACCACTGATGTAAAGGACTCTCCTCTACTTTGCAGGAACTGGGATTTGTACTAATCACTAGAGCACACTCTTGGCTTTCCAAGGAGCCGTAGAACACGTAATTCGCCCAAGTATCGGCTGAGATACGGCTTTCAACGTGCTAGGTAGTGCTCTAAGATTGAAGGATAGAAAGTCTCTGGATTTTGTGTCGAGTTGAACCGTGTATAGAAAACTCTGATTTTCAGTATGAAACATGCATACAAAGCAACTAGTTTTATATCATGCAATCAACATCGAACCGCGTTCGTAACATCGCATCGCTACACTTCGCGAATGTTCTCGTAACATTTCGAAGTGGTGAAATTCGACACTCGAATTTCACTCATCCGAATGTTCCTTCAAGTCTCGAACTTTCTGGTGCTGCCATGTGGCACCGAATTGGTTGAGTCTTCCGAAGTCAATCTTCAGCCCCACGCCAACCTGCAGCTCACTCGAAGGTGAGAAGCAAAAGCAGCACCGTTCGGTGGTTGGGGGCAAAACCTAGCCCCACGCAACCTCCAACATGGTAGACGCATCCTCGGCCTTCTCCCCTCTGCCATTCTGTGCAGGCGTGTTGAGAATCTACGGCTACGTGGCTGTGGTGGGGGCGGTGATCTTTGTCGTTATCCAGCTTGTCAGCATGCTCAACTTCGTCTTTGTGTGGAATGACACGTGGCAGGCAAACAAGAAATGGTGAGCTTCTGTTGGAATGGTGAGGAAATAAGAAATGGTGAGCTTTCGTATCAAGTCAAGCTGCTCACACTCTACTGCCCTCACACCCTACTGCCCTCACCTGCCCTCACGCCCACCTCCCCTCACGCCCTCACGCCCTTGTGCAATCATGCGCTATTAGCACGTTCACTTTATTAGGCACCTCAGAACTACTCAGAGTTTTACAAAATGATGATAATTGGATGAAGTGGTGGCAATCTCTTTATGCCCTCATGCCCTCATGCCCTCACGCCCTCATGCCCGCATGCCCGCATTTTATGGAGTGGTGGTAACCAGAACACGTGAACTGGCAGGGGCGGCAGCATCTACCATCATCTACCTTTTAATCATACCCTCATCCCTTCCTCCCCTCTTCCCACTTTCTTCCCTGCCCCCCCTTCCAACCTCTCTCTTGCCCGAGCCTGTCTAGCTCAGGCACGTGTTGGCAGGAGTGGTAACCGGAGCATGTCACTTGGCAGTGGCAGCAGCAGCAGCGCTCATGTGCCTGTTCTTAATGCCTTCCTCCCTTATTCCCCTTTCCTGTTCCCCCCAAACCCCTCTCTTGTCCCAACGTGCCTATCCCTCAGGCACGTGTTGGCAGCAGTGGTAACCGGAGTATGTTACGTGGCAGTGGCGCCAGCAGCTGCACTCATGCATCTCTTCTTCGCGCCCTCCTCCTCCTGCTCGCTCAATCTCTTCTTTCACTCTCCTCCCACCACTCAGGCACGTGATGGCAGCAGTGGTAACCGGAGTGTGTTACCTGGCAGTGACAGCAGCAGCAGCGCTCATGCATTTCTTCTTCGTGCCCTCCTCCCCTCCCCTCTTTCTCACCTGTCTTATCCCTCAGGCACGTGTTGGCAGCAGTGGTAACCGGAGTATGCTACGTGGTAGTGGCGGCAGCCGCAGCGCTCATGTATCTCTTCTTCGTGCCCTCCTCCTCCTGCTCGCTCAACCTCTTCTTCATCTCCTCGCTGCTCATCCTCGTCCTCCTCCTCACCCTCGTCTGCCTCCTCCCAGCCGTGAGTATCGCCCTCCCAGCCGTGAGTATCGCTCCCCTCTAGCCCTCTCCTGCTCGCTCAACCTCTTCTTCATCTCCTCCCTGCTCCTCCTCGTTCTCATCCTCTCCATCGTCTGCCTCCTCCCAGCCGTGAGAATTGCTCCCCTCTTGGCTTTCCTCTTCACATTTCCGCGTGCTCCTCCTCGCCCTTGTTCGCCCTCCCTCTTGCTCGCCCTCAACCTTCTCCCCCTTCACTCTTGCCCACCCTCACCCTTGACTGCCCTCGCCATTGTGCCGCATCCTTGTACCCCCTGCCCCTGTCTGCCCACACACTTGTCCCTCCTGCCCTCGTCTGTTCGCCTGCAGGTCGAATCCACAGGGCTGCTGAGCACAGGAGTCATGGCGGTGTATTTTGTCTTCCTCTGCTGGTCGGCAATCATGAGCGAGCCGCCCGGGGAGACGTGCAACACACGCCCGAGGCAGACAGGACAAACAACATGGACAGATGTTATGGTGAGTTCAGTGGTCCTTCACACCCATTTTAGTTCCTCTCCTCGATGTCATTTCCATCCGGACGTACTAGCAGTGCTGAAGAATGAACGACTTTTGAGGCGCCTCAAAAGCCTTCAAAACCATCTTAGTTCCTCTCCTCATTGCCAATTTTATGAGGACCTTTGAGTCGACGCAAATGTCACCTCGTTACGACGTGGACAGATGTTATGGTGAGTTCAGCGGTCCTTCACACCCATCTTAGTTCCTCTCCTCGATGTCATTTCCATCCAGACGTACTAGCAGTGCTGAAGAATGAACGACTTTTGAGTCGCCTAAAAAACCTTCACGCCCATCTTTGTTTCTCTCCTCGTTGCCATTTCCGTCCAGACTTCCCGGCAGTGCTGAAGAATGAATGCTTATGCCCCGATACAGCGTCTCTTCTGCTGTGTTCTTGACCTTTACCTGTTTCTCCCCCCTTCTCACATGTTCGTTGCCCCTAACAGGCCTTCATTTTTGCTCTCCTCACAATCTTAGTTTCCGTTTACACTGTGGGAATCGACCGGCGGTGCATCTCACTCCATCCAGACTCTGGCGAGGATGTCGACGGTGCGGGGAATGGCAAAGTGTCATACGGGCATGGGTTCTACCATTTTGTGTTTTTAACGGGAACCATGTACATGACAATGCTGTTTATTGGGTGGGATTTAAAACGGAATCCGGCTCAATGGAGCTTGGATACAGGCTGGGCTAGCACCTGTGTAAAAATGGGGATTATGTGGTTTTCAGGAGCTGTTTATATTTGGGTTCTTGTTGCTCCATTAGTTATTCCTGGGAGAGAGGTCTCCATTTATGGGTCGTGATAGCAGATTGATATGTGTTAACGGAAGGAGGTTTCATACCGTATTGTGTTTCAAGCGTAACATGATAACGCGTAGGGCTTGTAATGGTTTCTATACTGTACTCAGGTAGTGGGCAGCATTTTCCCGTCAAACGAAGTCTCTTTGACTTGCAACGATCACTAGTTGGCAAACTGTTGTACACCTGATGTCCGTTTGAGTCTCCCCTACTTGGGTTGTGCTCTGGGCTTATAAACACTTTGAGAATTTCGCCCAGTTCGTTCCATTTCGCCAGGGTGTTGAGGGGCTTCTAAAAAACACAGGTTGTAACTCGTTTGTTTTTTCCAAAACAGTGCTGGTGGGCCTGTGTTGTTGTTAGTTCAGGGTTTAGGGTTTATGCCTGTTTCTGGCCAAGAAACAAGAACAAACCGGGTCAGCATGGTTTGTTTTGCGCCTAAGATTCATACGTTGGCGTTTTCTCGCCCAAATGCAAGTTGATCCGCGTGCCTATACCGTGGGTGCAACTGACTGCGAAAAAAAACACGGGTGCAAAGTTTCTGAAATAGGCAAGGCAAATTCGCGCGCAGTGGTTGGGCATCATGTGTACTATCCTGCCGAGCTGGCTGCTGCCAGCTCGTCAAAAGTTATTGACCCGACAGGCGTGTGAATCTTGTCAGAGCTGTACGTGTACAGTTTCGTTTGACATGTGCAACAAGAAACACTTCGTACGTATTCTTGTCGTAGACTGCAGCTCATCTGCCAGCATGGCTGTTGAAATGCTGATGTACCACCACCAAAGTGTTGTCGCGAAGTGCAGTTGCAAGATATAGCCAAAATAGTACGTACACACACGGACTAGATATAGTTGGAAGTAGAAAATTCCTACGATGCTGCTTACCACCCCAAAATATGTATCTGCTCCGTCAATTGTGGAAAACAGTCCAATCACCACTCACGAGTCTCTCTCATCCCTACGGTGACTTTAAAGCGACGGGCAACTTTTGGCAGTGTTGGGTTCAGAAGTTTTTTTTTTGAACCAGGCTTGCCAGCGCGAAAGTGCTGGCTGGCGAAAACCAGGATTTCGTGCGGACACTTTCCATCCGCAGTAACAGTTCGCCAGGGTTCTGGGTTTTGGGTGGCAAATGTGCACCGTCGCTTTAAAGAATCGTGTGGACATTGCATGCGTGGCGTGGACGTAACCACTCCTACTCGCGTTTCGGGGGCGATGCGACAAGTCCATGCAAAGGCATGTGGGGAAGAATGTGCGAATCGTGTGGGGGTCATGAAACTCGCACGATTCCCCTGAAGCCAGCGAGATTTTCCCAGCGAGCCGCATGTCTGCTGGTCACAACGAGGAGCAATGACGGTCTGATGAAAAGATGGAGACAGGTTGCGTTGCGAACTGGCAACACGAAAATGTGTACAGGGTGTATTGTTCGCCAAAGATCGCGAGCTCTCGTCACTGTTCCCCTCCCATCCCATCGTCCCCATCACCTCTGTCTCTCTGTGTCCTGGCTTCGTTTTTGCACTTCTCTCTCTTGCACCCAAATCGATATCCCACGTTGGCGGACGCTCTTCATCTCATGTCGTGCCGTGCGTGCCTGGTCCCCTTCCGCCTCCCCCCTCCCCCCTCCTTCCCCACCCCCCCCACTCGCCGCCCTTTCAAATTCCCTTTATCCCCCTCCCCAAGAAGCTACTGTACCGTTTAGTCAAAATCAGGGTTTCAGAACCACCATTGGCCCCTCTCGCATTCCTACGTGAACAGTGTCAAACAAAAAATATCCGTCCTCAGACCAGACCATCGCTGCACGCACCCGCCGTCCCCAGACCATATTCGTCGCACCCCTCCCCCCCCCAGACCACTTTCCGCTCAATCTGCACCGCCGTACAAGCGGTCCTTCGTGAGGGTTTCAAGCTTCATCACTATTGGCTGTTCGAGGTGACTCACCACCGCCAGAGGAGAGAAGATAGAACAGCAAACATGTTCGTTGTGCGCCGGGTGGGTGGGGGTGCCTCTCTCTCCCTCCATCTGCCGATGGCGAGTCACCTTCGGTGTGTGACAGTCCACTCCACACCACACCACAATCCCCATCGTGGGATGCGAGGCGATGTTATATGATATCATGTTCAGCCTCTAAGATACGCACTCCTTGATTTCCAGTCCCCTTGATTTTCAGTCCCCGTCTTGCCGTTTCATCGCATTGCGCCATCGTCGTCAGCCCCCGGGCTGTCTCTGTCTCTATCGAGCAATTCTTTTTGCAACGATCGTCCGACGATAGTCCGAGTCAGTTTAAGAACGTTTGTCGCATCCGAAACGATCCGTTGATATCGGTTCCCATTGGGGAGGAGCTTCCCCTCGTCCAGAGAGTGATTCGCCTCCGCCGATTGCGGCGCACCGCCGCCGCCATCGCACCGTTGCGGAGGAGGATTCCTCGCCGTCTCCCACGTAATGTGCCAGCCAATGACAACGCTCACTTGTCCACGAAGCGGATGCGGCGGCGGCGGCCACGGCGACGGCTACCACTGCGGCTCGGGCTTTAAGTCTGCACCTCAAGACTCGCATCGCCTCCGCGGCGGTGGTGGCGGCAGCGGCGGCGACTGGGATTCGCCGCGGTGGCCGCAGGCCCTGGCTATCCGGGACTCCGAGTCGGAACCTTCGTCGTCCCTAATGGTGACGGGGACGGTGACGGTGATGGGTTCTGAGAACGAGTCGCAACCCCGTGAAGACGACGCGCTTTGGCGCGGCGCCACGAGCACGAGAGTGAGTTCAAAGTCACAACCGCCCACCCGAACCGCCGGCGCCTTGCGGATGTCAATCCGGCGGGAGGATCATCCCCGCTACTGAGAACCTCTCTCGGACTTCAAGAACATTTTGTATAAAATTTTATACATGTCTCCCCCTGCTACCGATACCACTTGAAGTTCAACGCCACTCAGTGTCTCTAAAATGCTGCTCTTCTGCCGTGCTGCTGCTGCAGGTTCCTCGTGCTCCCTCATCCGCTCGATCGCGGATCATTCCAATGGACGAGATCAAAGCGCACTTCCACATGCCCATTAATGACGCTGCCGCCAAGGTACTACTACCCCCAGTAATAGTACGATCATTCTCAGTACGAGTTAGTCTACACTCCTCTGAGGTTTTTTGTAGAACCGTCGCAACGCCGCGTCATGGCTGTTTTCTGTGCCTCCTCGGCCTCTTCTGTCGCCATGACATCATTCGGAAGTCGTGTCGCTTAGTCCCCTCCTCCCATTTTATTTCATGATGGGCCCATGGGTACGACGATGATGATGGCGATGGGTCCATTAGCACGATGATCATGATCTTGTCTCCTCGGCCTCTTCTGTCGCCATATATATTGTGTCGCTCACGTCCCCTCCTCCCTTTTCCTCTCGTGATGGGCCTATGGATATGACGATGATGGTGATGATGGTGATGATGGTGATGATGGTGATGATGATGATGATGACGCAGATGGGCGTGTGCGCGACGGTCCTGAAGCAGCAGTGTCGCGACTACGGCATTATTCTTTTGAGGCGCCTCAAACGTCGCCTCAAAAGTCACCTCAAACGTCCCCTCTTTCCCGTTTCCCTTTCATGATGGTGATGACGCAGATGGGCGTGTGCGCGACGGTCCTGAAGCAGCAGTGCCGCGACTACGGCATTATCCGTTGGCCTTTCCGAAAGGTAACATGTCTGAGGATCGCCGTCACATGACGGTGACGGATCGGCAAACGGCCTCATAGTAGTCGGCCTCCCATTGTCTTAATGTGTTACATGTTGAAGTAGCCATGTCTGTAGTATGATTCGCAGGCATGTACTTAGAGTCGACTCACATACACAAACAACGAGCCTTCCTTGTGCCTCTCCGAGAGCAACAACCGAGTCCGTTGAGTGATCATCGCAGGAGCCTCACAACGACCCGCCTTCCCCTGTCGCATTGTTTACAGGTTCGAAAACTCGACAGGCTGCTTGTGGCTCTAGTGGAGCACCCTACAGAGGGGATGACAGGCGAGGCGGCAGCAGCGGCTGCAGCAGCAGCAGCAGCAGCGGCAGCAGGGGCCTCCAAGAGCCGAGCGATTGCGAAAGTCCAGGAGGTAAGCCGCTCTCAATCTTCCAGCTTGAAATAACAACACCACTTTTTTCTGTCAGCACCCATTGTGATATTTGTCAGGAATCAATCGCCAAGGCCTGTGAGGTTAGAGCTGACGTAAGTGATCGGTTGATCCAAAGTTGCTCCCTGCTGCTCCTACCGTGCACGTGTGCCTAAAGTAGAGTGTGCGTCATCCTTTCCCTTCTTCTCCCCATTTCTTACCCCCCCTCCCTTATCCCTCCCCACTCCCACCTCCCCCCAAGCAGCGGAAGCGCAAGCTAGAGCAGGTGAAGGGGGCACTGACCGAAGTGATTGTCAATCCAAACTGCTCAGGTATAGCACACGCCCAATGGGGGGGGGGGGGCGTCGCAATAATGCTAGGATTGAATGATAGGATATTTCCCTGAGCAAATGCCACGACCGATACCATGCTCGCAACACTCTGGCTCCTCGTTTTTGTGTGTTTTTGTTTTTGTTTTTGTTCTTGTTTTTGTTTTTGTTTTTTTTTCCCCAATCGAGACCTGTCCTATACACGTCTTCCCCTTTCCCCCATGGCGTGCTCTTTGTGCAGCTCACCTCAAGGTTGGCAAGATGAGGGTTGTGCCAAGAGCTCCTTGCCAGCCCACCAGCACCAGCAACAGCGGCGGCAGCGGTGGTTGCAGCGTTGACGCGCCTCAACTCGACAATCCTCCATCCAACAACCCTCCAATCATCACTCCTCAATTCGACACCCTTTTCGCTGCTCCTACTCCTCCTCCTCCTCCTCCCCCTCCTCCATTTGTTGTGTCACCATTCCTGCCCTATCCTCCAGTTCCACTTGCCTCTCCAGCTTTCCCTCCCCCTCCTCCACCCTTCCACTCCGCACCTCCTCTCCCTCTTCCCACTGCGCGACCTCTCCTGCTACAACCTCCTCACCCAGTGCAGCCTCTCCTGCTACAGCTGGTTCAGCCATCGCTGTTTCACTCACACTCGCATTGCACGCCAACCATCGTGGCGAAAAGCTCACTGCAGAGCCAACTCAATAGTCAAAACAGCGCACTCCCAAAGAGCTTTGAGATGTCTCAAAACGCCATCGTGGCGAACAGCTCACTGCAGAGCCAACTCAATTGTCCAAACAGCGCACCCCCAAAGAGCTCCTGGAATGGCGAAGACTGCTCTCACCTGCACCAGGTGACGGCTCAGGTGAACCATCAGGTGGAAGCTCAGGTGGGATCGGATCTGGGAGCATCTGGAGTCACAAATCCTTCTCGCATGGAGCAGCAGCAGCAGCGGCACCACGATTGCCGTCCAGGAGGGTTGATACCTGCTGCTACAGCCCAGTTACAATGCCTGGCTACTGCTACAGCCCCTCCCCTCTCACACAGCTCATCATGTGGCACATCAGCACTGAGCCTCTCTGAGCTGGACCTGATCTCTCGCCTGCATGCTGCCGAACCAGGGGCGTCCCAGGCCGGCACCGAGGCTGGCACCGAAGCTCACGCACAGGCTCGGGAGTGCGGCTACCACGAGAAGCAGGAGGAGTCTGTGTGTGAAACTAGCCTGACCTTGTCGCTTGCAGTCGGACATGTGCCAAACAGTGGCAGTGGCAATGGCGGTTGCGACGCTTCGGATGGAGATACTTCTATTGGCGGCGCTCCGAATGGCGACGATTTGAACTGGGATGCTGTGAATGGCGATTCGCTGAATGGTGAAGGAGGTCCCGACAATAGAGGGGTCGCCAATGGCGTTGCTTTAGATGGCGAAGGAGCGCGGTGCTCTGAGGATACGGCCTGTCCAACCATTGCCAACAAGAGTGTTGGTTTGACTTTTGGGGAACCAAGGAGTCTCAAGATTGGTTTGGCCTTTCAGGATGGAATTAGTCTTCAGGCTAATTTGCCCAATATTAGTCGGCAGCAGCATTGCTGGTCCTCGTTAGATGGGTTTTTTCCGTCGCCGGCTGTTCCACTGTATAGGTTACAGCAGATCAGCAAGGGTTGATCATGTAATACGATAGGTACATGTGATAGAGCTGCAAGGTATATGAGTAATATAATATGAATTAGGTACAAGAAATATGCCTTTTAATGAATTCAACATGTTAAGACAATGCACTACACACTTGCATGGTAAGATCACATCACAAGTTGCTATTGCCTACACCTAGTCCTCGCCAATTTCACGCCCTGCAACTCCTTTCGGGAAGCACCCCGACCCGATTTTGGCTTGACCAATGAACTCCCAGAATTTGAAGGCTATGAATGACTCAGTCAAGGGTCGAGATGTTAAAAAACTCCTGTACTAGGACCGCAGCGCATCGACCAAAGTTTCATTGAGACCCGTGTTTTGTTCAGCTCTAACTTGTCTGGGAAGTCTGAATCGTACCCTCTTTAAAACGAATGTAGTTGAAACGAGAAATATCTACACAGGGGGGTGAAATTGGCCCTAGTGAAGTTGGCGAGGACTCGGTGTACCTGGCAACCATGCTGCAGCACCACATTGTGTCGAGAGAACTGTGCAGGAATGATGAATGACTAGCAACAGGGAGATACAAGTATGAAACCCTAACTGTGCTTGTACTCTATACTGAGCACCTCACTGTAGCCTAGCAGAACTAAGAACATACGAATATGTTTTGACGCACCCCCCTGGGCAAAGTGAGGGATAGCCAACACAACAAACGGTCACAAGACCAGTCAGGCAAGAGAACAAAGCAATGCAAAGCCCAGGGTGGATCTCAAGACCACCACTCATTCTGAGCACAAGCAAGCGGCCACAAGGCCAGTTCACATGCAGAGTTCATCATAGCAAGGCAGTATACTGATCACAACCTAGCAAGAGTAAACATGCAGATATAAATATAGATATAAGTGTACAACAAGAGCAAGATCAAGAGACAAGCAGGTGAGGCGGAACGCGCAGAAGCCCAAGAGCAGTGCAAAAACGCTGATGATCACCAGACCCGAGGGCCTTGGTGAACACATCAGCAGTGTTGGCCCGAGAGGCCACGTAGGAAAGGCGAAGCTAACCACGCTGCTGCAGCTTTCGAGCAAGAAAGTAGCAAAGAGCAATGTGCTTCGTTCTGTGCTCCAGTCTCTGCTCGTGACATAAGGCAAGCATGGCCTTGTTGTTGACGTATAGAACTGGAGGAGAACAAGGCCGCTCCTCCAAGTCGGTCAGCAGGTAGGTCAGCCAGCGTAGCTCCTGTGCAGCCATAGCTCCTGTGCAGATCTCGGCCTCACAGCTGGAACCAAGCACAGAAGAAAAACGAGAGGACCTCCACGAGACAGAACCAGAGCCAAGACAGAAGGTGTAACCCTGTGACGAATGCTGAGTCGCCTGGTCGTCGGCCCAAGAAGCGCCGGAGTGTCTTGTGAGTACCACTGAACCCCGTCCTCCAAGCACGAGCCCCATGTCCGATGTATTGCACAAGTAACGCAGTACCCTCTTCGCAGGATCCCAGTGCACCTTTCGGTGTCTACCGGGAGCCAGGTAGCGAGCCAGGAGGTTGAGAGGGTACGCGAGGTCAGATCGTGTGCACGTCATCAGGTAGATGAGGCAACCCACAAGCTCTGGATACGGACCACTCGGCTCTACGGACTCGTCCGAAGGTGGAGCTGAGAGCGAGTGGCCAGTAGGCAGAGGGGTGGGCTGTGGTGAGGAGTACTGAAGCCGAAGCGCTGAAGGACCTGGTGCACCATGTGTGACTGAGTCAGGGTGATGGTGCGCCGTACTTTGTCCCGGGTGATCTGCAAGCCAAGATAGCTATGCAGCTCACCCAGGTCAATGCAGGTGTGTCTCTCCGGCAGCTCCGTCTTCACCAGGGACAGCGCCTCAGTGTCAGCAGTAGCAAAAACCAAGTCGTCGACGTACACGAGAACATAGAACGGCGGCAGAGTAGTGTCGGTGCGTAGAAACAGCGACGGGTCAGCACAGGAAGGAGCAAACCCAAGAGCCGCAAGTGTCGTCCTCAGTGTGTTGTGCTACTCGCGGGGCGCCTGGCGGAGACCGTAGACTGGCCGCCGGAGGCTCCACTGGGTACCCGCAAGAAACGACCCAGTGAAGCCAGGTGGGCGGCGCAGCCAGATTTCCTCGTGAAGGCCGCCCTGCAAGAAAGCTACGAAGAAGTCTAGGAGTGCAGCTCGTAGTCACACTGTGCTGCAACGTGCAGCAACACCCGAAGAGTAGTCATCTTCAGGGTGGGGGAGAAGGTCTGGAAGAAGTCGACCCCCTGTCGCTGACTGAAGCCTCGAGCAACGTAACGCACCTTGAAGGCAGGCGGAGAACCCGGCGGCCGCTTCACCCTAAAAATCCACATGCCATCGACTATGTTCGCCCCACGAGGAGGAACCTCGTCGACGTAGGTGCCTGTGGACTTCCCGGAAGCCATCTCTGCGTCCATGGTTGTCTGCCACTGAGAGGAGTACTCACCCGCGATCGCCTCAGCATAAGAGCGCGGGGTAGGGATGTCAAGTGCATCTGGGTCTCCATCAGGGCAAAGTAGCATGGATGCGAAACGAGGTAAAGCGGCCGCAAGACACTCAAGCTCAATCTGCCTATCCTCAAGGACGTCACTGCTAAGGGCAGGCTCACCCCCGACGAACGGAGGACAGACAAACTCAGACTCAGTAACAAGACTCGCGACGTCGTGGAGACGACTCCTAGCAGCAAAGTCGACTAGCTCAGTGACTAGGGCAAACGCAGCAGTAGACTCAAAGTCAGGGTCAGTGACGACAGTAGCGAGGAGACGAGTGACAGTAGGACTGGCAGCACGAGCAAGGTCTGACTCAGGGTCAGGAACGTCAGGAACAGAGGATGCCGGAGGAGACGGCATGGCAACACGCTGTGGAACAGAGAAAGGACGAAGTGCCATAACGTGAGTGCCTGGGACAGCAGGAGGACGAGGACGGGCGACACGACGAGCACGAACAGGTGTGGAAGCACGAGTCTCAGGCTCACGACGCTCAGTCAGGGACTCCGTCACCTCAGTGTGAGGAGCAGGAGCAGGCAGCGGGGAGCCATGCAGTAGCTGTGACTGAGACTGGTCTGTCGCTGGACACAGGAGAGGTGGAGTGAGGCCAGTGGAAGACGGGAGACTAAAAACCTGGCGAAGGGCCGAGGCAGGCGGGGGCAGGGACGACTGCGGCTGCGGGTAGAAAAACGGTCTGCGCGGTGCAGTACCCGTACCGTCAGCAGCTCCAGCACCTCCAGCACTAGCACCTCCAGTGCCAGCAGCTCCAGCACCTCTAATACCTCTAGCTCCAGCGCCTCTAGCACCAGCAGCACCAGCAGCACCTCCAGCACCAGCAGAACCAGCACCTCCAGTGCCAGAAGCTCCAGTACCTCCAGCACCTCCAGCTCCAGCAGCACTAGCACCTCCAGCTCCTGCAGCTCTAGCACCTCTAGTACGAGCACCTCCAGCACCAGCAGCACCAAAACCTCCAGCGCCAGCAGCTCCAGCACCTCCAGTACCTCCAGCACCAGCAGCACCAGCACCTCCAGTGCCAGCAGCTCCAGCAGCTCCAGCACCTCCAGCTCCAGCACCTCCAGTGCCAGCAGCACTTCCAGCACCTCCAGCACCAGCACCACCAGCACCTCCAGTGCCAGCAGCTCCAGCACCTCCAGCACCTCCAGTACCTCCAGCTCCAGCAGCACCAGCACCTCCAGCTCCGGCAGCTCTAGCACCCTCAGCACCTCCAGTACCAGCTACTCGAGGAGCTGTAAAACTCCCATCTCCAGCACCAGAGCCACCTCGCCGAACGACCCACTCACGAAGCTGCTGCGGCGAGGGCGTCTCGAGTCGACTGGGCGGCTGCTGCTGTCCAATGCTAGGACCTGCAGCAGGAGCACCCACGGCCCCACCACCACTAGGACTCGCAGCACCCCCAGACTCAGCACCCCCAGAGTCAGCACCCCCAGAGTCAGCACCCCAAGAGTCAGCACCCCCAGAGTCAGCACCCCCAGAACCCTCACCCCTAGTCTCAGGACCCCCAGTCTCAGCACCCCCAGGACCAGCACTTCCTGCGTCCTCACCCCCAGTGTCACCACC